GAACTATTTTCAGCTTAGATTTTTTTATCTTTTTTTATTTTTTTTTTCTCGTTTGAGATTGTAATGTGCATAATTTTGGATTTCAGATATAAAGAAGTTATCTTCAATGGAGGAGGTGCACCTTTACTGCAGAAATTGCTCGAATAAGTTGTCAAAGGGTCTCAGGCAGGCATTTAATATCTCCTTTTGATGTTTAGTCTATCATTCAGTTTTTGATTTTTTTGGTATATCTCCGTGATTGGATTTTGATTAACAAACACTTTGTAGACCACCTTCTAAATCGTAAACCTTGTAGTTTTTCTTTTACCTTTTTTCCCTTCAGTGGGAACATTCATTATGAACAGCATTCGGATTGTATAATTCATAGCATTGTTTGGATGATATTATTATTTATTCTTCGTGATGCATTTTATGCTTTTATTCATCATAATTATTTTTCGCCATGATGCATTTTTGTTATCTTCATTGTCTGGAAAATTGGATTAGAGTTGTTTTCATTATCCTATTTTGTTAGTAATAATTGTTGGTAAATCCATCCAGAGTCATCATGAATACTGCAAAGTGCGAATTATGACTTTACTTTTGGCTCAAATTCAACATCTTTGTTCAAGAGAACATAGTTTATGGAGCCAAAGTGGCAATGCAAACTATAAGTAAACATCAATGTGATTGCATTCATTTTCACAGAGGGTTCATGTTTACATCCTATACTCTTCCCCTGATAGATTACCATGCTAAGATAAACTTAAAGTGTTGATGCAGATGTTTTAAGGAAATGCCATCTGCTAACTGGAGGGATGTTGCTGATAATTGGTTTGGGAATTGTTGTTGCTCGTTTGGAGGTGTGAGCGAGAAGCTGGTTGCAGAATATGCAAAATCCTACACTTGCAGTCCAGGTTTATGCCTTTTGACCACAACATCTGTTCTTTTATGTAAAGATGATCTCTTGGGATGTGAGTTCCCCAATATAAACCCAACGCAAAACACTGAGTCTGATCTAAACTCGCCTAGTGATAAAGTTTCACCAGATGGGTTAAAAGCGCGAGCTGGCTGTCTTGTAAATCATAGTGATGAAAATGGAACTCCAAGAGATTTAGCAGATGAAGACAAGAGATTGTTGATGAATGAGAAAGGTGATAATTGTAATAGTGCAACTTGTTGTTCGGGCGGGTTGGGATCCTCTTCAGAGTTGCTGACTAATGAAACTAATGTTAATCTTCTCGAAAATCAGAAAGTGTTTCTAGATGGTTATCTCGGGAATGATTTCATGATTAAGTCGTCTGGGCTCTCAAAAGACATCAACTGGGTCGAGTTTTTATGCCCACAATGTTCGTGCCTTGTTGGATCGTACCCTTGCTGTGATGATGGTGTGCCATTAGATGGTGGAGTTCGTCTTTTCAAATGCTATATTTCAACTTGCTTGCCAGAAAATGTACCCAATGATGTATTTAGGTCCTTTTTTTTTTTAATTTATAAT